TAATTGTACTCGCTGGTGTAAAAGTGAGCGTTCAATAACTTATTCGCTGTATCCGAGACGTGCGTGGAAGTTATTTCGTAAGTATAGTTTATTTTTCATTGTTTTTCATTCCGTTTTCTAAGAACATGCTTAGGTCGTCGTACTCGTGGGGCGGAAGCAATGCATCGAGTAATTTCAAATCAAACTGGGGAAGAACGGGCAGACTGAGCCACAGCAAGGCGTGGCCGGGCACAGCTAGTATTAAATAAACATGAAGCAGGTAACAAACATATCTGCCCTGTATAAGCCAAAATATTAGGATGCCTAAATGCCAAGAAAATTCCACAAACAGGTGCAGATGAGATGCGATTGGATCAGCTATAAACTCAGCTGTCAGTTAAATTTGATTTGTTTCATTTTGGTCCGTCACACTAACAGTTAAAATTATAAAAGAGAAGTCCGTCCAGTGTGACTATTTCAGTTTTCTCACTTGATGTTCCACTGCCCTTACATGTTTCGATCCATTTGGATCATCTTCAGAGGCACCAAACACTTTTTAGAAACCACTATCACAACAGTTGTCATATCAAATACACATGTATTGTCCAAGTACATAATGTTCCATCTATCAGTTACAGCAGCCTTTCTGGTTATAGAAATATTTAAAGTTGTTTTAAAGTCCGTGTTTTCAGTTTACAGTTTTTCATAAACGCATACTTATGTAGGTGAGTGTTGGAATGATAGAAACTATTACAGGCAGCAACATAGCTTCCGGGCGTGGAGTGTCCGAAGGACACTGCGGTACTATTGCATCAGGAAAACATCCATGAGTCAGTCTTACAACAAGAACATTCACAAGTTCGCTGTCCAGGAGATAACGCGCCTGATATATGATAACTTTATATTAAAAACAGAAAATTTATTGAAACTAGAAATGTCTCCAAAAAGTCAAGTGATTAAATACTCCTTATTTTTTCAAATGAAAATTCTACTCAACTGCGGTAACTTCTTCGTCGGCAAGGGGAAGCACTTGAGCTTTAACAGATGACCTCTGAGAGGAGGGAGGAATGCACTGACCCATATGCTCACTGCGCAAACCTGTTCCTCCCACACCACCATATCTCATTTCCTGTATTTTCCTTATTTAGTGCAAATATAGTCGGGTAATAACTTCTCTTGGTGCGATTCTCGATTCAGTCGCAGGTCATTCCTTGTGGGATTACTAGAGATCAAAATGCTCCTGGAACAGTTAGCCTTTTCTTTCTCATGTTATTGCTGTTACACCCCTGAATCCCCATTTAGTTGTAAACAGTAATAGAAATGCAATTTAAAGAATTATTGTATGTCTGTTTTGTGCAAACTGATATTGAATAACTACTAGCTTACAAATATACTCATAAAGAAAAATGTAAAATGTTTTAGTAACTCCATGACCTGTAATCCGCAAGCGAACTATACCGACCGAGCGACCTCCGTTTGTCGAGCGCAACGGATCCCCACGGCCGTTAATCTCGGTTGTCTAGACCGCAGCCGCTATTTCCTTGAAATACCTCCTGAATGTTTTATTAACTACATGGAAACTAAATAGTTATTCAGATTTTTCGCGAGAACTGTACGAACGTGTACTATGAAGTAGTGATCAGTAAATAGGAGACATTCTTCAGGTAAGCTAGCAGAAATACACACGTAATGCTGACCCTACTCTTTCAAACAACGCGTTGATGATTTCAGATATCAGTGATAGCAGCATGGCTCTGAATTCAGTTTCTCTGTTCCTATTCATTTTTTTGTTTTATGTTATTTTCAAGTTAAGCATTCCCCGCTGTGTTTATAGACTCATCATCACACTAAATTCGGGATCTTCACTGTGTTCGTTTAAACAACTCGTGTTTAAAAGTTGCAGTTTTGAATGCAAGCTGTAGTTCTTTTTAAGTCTTTATTGGAAACACAACCGGTCTACGAAACCGAGATTAACGGCCGTGGGGATTCGTTGGGCTGAGCACGCAACACCCTCTATCCGCTAAAGTTGGCACTAACTTCGCAGACAAACGGCGGTCGCTCGGTGAGTATAGTTCACTTGTGGAGTACAGGCCACGGAGGAGGATTGGAAACACAATTTTACAAATATAGAGTGTAACTCAAACGTACAGACAATCTTGGAGCACGAGTTCTACATGACAAAACGCGAAAAAGCGACTATACAAACGTGAGTCCGGAAAAAAATTAATTTGAGAACTATAGCTGAAAGAGCATATTTGTAATAAGTTCTCAAGAGGTCCTCAATGCGATTCAATGCACGCCTCGACACCTCTCATCATGGACTGCCGCATCCTTTCAAAGATGCTGGGGTAGTTAGGTATAGTCTGACAGGTACCCACAGTGCGAAGGCAGGGTGCCTCTTCGTTGTCAACAGGAGCTAAATACACAAGGGTCTTTAGGTGTTCACACAGGTAAAAATCAAGATAATTCAAATTTGGCGAGCATGAACGCCATTCAGTGGATATTCTTGTACCTGTCCATTGGTCATCTTTTTTACGTAGACGGTAGGACCTCTTGGACGGGGGAATCAGCCCGTCGCATGGCTGCTATCTACCCATAGGCCACCACAAACACAGAATAAACTCTCTCTCTCTCTCTCTCACACACACACACACACACACACACAGACATCTATGCCTTGAGGGGGTTTTGAACCCACGATCACAGCGTTCGAGCGAGCGAAGACAGTTCATGCCTTTCACCGCGCGGCCACTGTCATCGGTATATGGAAAGGATAACGGGATATATAATTCTTTATCTTGCCTGGAATTCATACCACAAGGAAGAAAAGACAATGATAGACCAACGAAGATGATGATACAACCAAATATATGCAACCAGAATAGCTTAAGAATGGCACAATCCATAAAGGCAACAAGGAATGTATCAAATGAGCTCAGAGTAATGTGCAAATAAGAGCTTGCTTGCTGCAAATAAGCCGAAATATTTGGACATGATCCGATTTCTAGCGCAAGGTTTCTCGCATACTTCCGCATTCTGTAACACTTATCAGATATATAATTATTTTAGCTGGAAATAATATTCCAGATTTGCTTTGTTGCCAGTCCACGTGTGGTAGACTTGCGCTGTTGCTGTCTACACATATTCATTACAACTGGAGACCGAGTTTCACAAACCTACCGTTAGAAAAGCCTGACAGATTAGTTTACGCTTCGTAGGCCACTGAAGATTAATATTATTTATGTAATAAATATTACATAAATGTATAGCTCATTCATTCTTCAGCTTTCGATATTGCCTGCCTATTTACAACGCGAATGTTTAAATAGAGTATTTGCCAGGAACGGAAAAACGTGTTTCAGAAATTTGTTGGCAAATAATTTGGCACTGTGAATAGATCCAAGGTTTGTGTTTAGATGTTGTAACATGTAGTTGTGCCGGCATTATCTCAAGCAAGGAACATAAATGGATAATTCGTTGTATTGTATTAATAAGTTGGGGCATTGCTATACAAGAATTGTCCACTATTTTTCTTCCCTACAAATGTATAATCCATTATCAGCTTGATACTGCATTCGAATCATTAAAACTTTAAGTTATAAGAAAAACAGCTGAGAAAGCTCTAACATGATGAGGGTAACTGAACTAAGGAAATTGATACGGGAAGCAAGAAGAGCATATAAAATGTGGTTCATTATTTGGAAGATAAAAGGTAAAGTTCGTCCTGTGCTTAACTAATTAAGAAGTACGCTATGAAGGCGTATGGGGGAGTTGACGAATAGATCCACATTTTCTTGACCTTGGCACTAGTTGGAGGTGAGTGGTTAGCTTCACGCTCTGGCCACTTTATCCTAGGGGAAAAATTCCCCAATGCTCATTGGATAGGAGGTTGGGCGGATCCCAGAGCCGCTCTGTACAACATGGAGAAGTGAAAATTCCTTACCCTACCGGGGCTGAACTCCGACTCCTCGGTCGTTCAGCCCTTAGACAGTCGCTGTACAGACCACGCTATCCCGGCTCCCATTTCGACGATAAACAGTGAATTTGGCGCTAAGTGCGTGACATTGTTCATTTGCAGATCTATGATTAGTTCCATAATGTTGAATATACTGTACTGAACTAGTAATGCAAAGGTCTGAGGGCGAGTGCGGCATCAGTGATAAATATTTTTGTAACTTACATTTATAGATACACAGATAAATATCTAACTTAATTCGTAGATTATTTAACAACCCAGTACCAAGCGAATAATTTATTTAGCGCTTTTTTCTTCCTCTTTGCTCCCCCTTTGGTGCATAGGGCTGATTTCTCAGTTTCACGATCATTTCTACATACGGTAGGACTGCTTGGACGGGTGATCAGCTAGTCGCAAGACCTCTACGTAAACAGAGAACACAAACACAGAATAAACGCATACACACACCAAACATCCACGCCTTGTGTGGGATTTGAACCCACGATCATGGCTTCCGAGCGAGCGAAGACAGAACATGCCTTAGATCACTCGGCTATAGTGACCGGCTTTATTCAGCATAGAATAACAAAAGGGGAGGCATTTAAGTACGACGAACTGGACTGCATAAATGGGGTGTGTCCTCTTTGAAAGTACTATCTCTGCAGTCAAGTGGTATGTCTGAGGAACACCACGAAGAAGACAGATCATTTACAAGTGAATAGTAATTTCTCGATTCATGGAAACCAGGCCAGTGTTTACAAACATCCTGTCTTGAGGTCGATGATAACAGTTTGCCAATACTACAAGCCTCAATAGAAAGGGCTTCACAGAACACACGCCATGCATTTAATTCCATCATCTCTGACGAACGCATTTCTATTACTCTTAATGATATGTCCTCGGTTAGCACAATAATGAGAGTACATAACAGTTTCGAAAAGCAGTTTTTAAAATTAAAAGTACTCGTAACGGTTAGATTCTATATTGTAGGCATGCATAGATAATATTTTAACGTCTGATCATTATTCACTAACAATTTATATAAATATTTAAATTTGAAACGTACCTGCTTTTACGACTATTTGGATGCTTAAGGCACTGAGTTGCTACGGCCACAGAATTTCCCATTGTGGACTATCTAGTCACAACATTCTAATATATTCGTGTATACGCCTTACTTTCAAGTAAACAGAGCAAAACCATTTGCAGTAGTGAATGCTCATTTATGGTACAGTGAGTACCGCCCTCTCTTGTTGCCGGCGTGTCGTTGTCTGCTAGTAGTATTTCAGCTGACAAAATCGGAGATGTTGGTCGAAAGGGACAGACATGTGGTTGATATTTGCGTCGAAAGGGGTTACGACTAGTAGGTCATTAGTAGATGACAAGGTAATGTGAATAATTCAGAAAAACACGTATGTTACGAACCGTCACAGCTCAACACTTACGTGTAGTTTCCAAGCGTTTATTCATATTTAGTCTTGTCCCGCTGCTCGGAAGTACTTTGTTTTTGTTGTTTCATTAGCATTTTATTTCTTGTGACAGAGTAAGGAAAGCTAAAAATTCGAAATAAGAGAAAAGTAGAAATGTATGTGTAGCTAGGTACACAGGAATGCATTATTTTACAGGTATTTCGTCACACCACGCCGAAAAATATTTAATATAAAAGTCATGTCTTAATGACCGTCTACATTTTGTGCGAGTAACAGTGTGTTTTGTATAAATTTGATGGAATTTATANTTATAAAATATTATAATTAATAAATTATATTTAAATTCCAGGGATAATTTTTTCGTGATACGAAGCAAGTCAAATTCGCCAGATATCTTTTGGTGTGGATTCACCAGTATCACATTTAACTGAAATGCTTCCTGTTGTTTCGAGGATGAAACTTATGGACGAAAAGACAAACTTCCGAATAATACTTATATCGATTCCATATTCACTTCGTATAAAGAAGCACAACTTTTCGTGTTTTTTGTTTCAACCAGCCAGTCTAGGCATTAGGCAATGTACAGATTATTCTCCCGCGAATTTACTAGCAGTAACTGTCCTTTGTCATATAGCATTTCAAGTCACAGAGTAGTCCCAGTTGTGGCTATATCAGCCGGCGAGAAGGGATTTTGTTCTACTGGCATCTCTTGTACTACAACACAACTGTCGTCCCGATTTTCGGGTTTTAACGCTTCGTACCTAATTTAGAGACGTAAACAGATAGGCCTATTCTATTTCAAAAGACGAGAGTTGGGAGAGGTAATTAGAAAATCATTTTTTGTCATTCTTATTTGAGGCCGCCACTTCCTTCTGCAACTGGTTGTCTCGACAAGCTGCACAGTAACGAGATCTGATGCTCGACATTATCAATCTGAGGAAAGGGAGAGCTGCACAACTGTCTTATACGTGGTTAGTAATATGCGCCGAAATGCTGAACATATTCATGAATTTCTCATACTACAACGAACAGCGTTAATCGGAACATTTATTGTCTCACTTTTACCAGTCGCATATAATCTTGATGTCAGTACTTTCGTGTTCACTACTAATTTCACCCTAAACCATTCCACTGCTCTCTCCTTCCGTCTTGCAACTGACCTCACTTGCTATTCACCGCATGCACTCTTCAACGTCTTCTTCGACTGACTTCCGCGCTAGCTGCCCACACCCAACCAAGGCTGAAGTCAGACGCCCCAACTTGAGGTTAGCAGTCACTGTTTTATGCATGTAAATCTTAGAGAATTTTCGGGTGCTAATACGAAAGACGCAGCCCTCACTTTTGTCAAAAGCTCCAGAAGAGTTTTGATGCGTCGAGAAAGAGAGAAGCATATAGGCGTAAAGTAGCCCTTATGTAGGGGGCTAGTCTGTCCCAGGTGTACCGATATATATTCCATTTGTAGACTATATAGTTGATCCAGGTCATCACCTCGTAAGGGCTTTCTCAAGATGGTTAGTTTAAGCGAACTTCCTCTGGTCCGGCTCGGGCGGTATACCCGCACTTAGCCTTTTTCTTGGAATTGCGTACAGTTGGCTAGGCAGTAGTAATGGGTCTTCATCCTATCGATGGCGATCCTGCCGTTATGCCGGCATATCAGGTACGGCCCAGGGTTCGGGGACCCTGAACTTCTGAGTAGATATCACTCTGTAGACACTATCATTCAATGTCGCTCCTTGTGTGTAGCCAGTAGTAACGATGCATGACGTTGTCCAGTGTTTTGTTGATGTCAACAAGTCCTCCCAACGATACTCCATGAAACTCTCCCAGTTCTTCTTTCACCTTATTCCAGGAAAGAATTATTTCAGCTGTCTTATAAAGTCCTTCTCCTGGCTCCGTGACCATATAGTACACCACCACCGCCTCCGCCGCCACCGCCACCGCCACCACCAGGGAGTTACTCTGAGACCAGTAACCCTTGCAGAGAGGACTGCGGTCAGAGATGTCCTTCCAAGTGAGACGCTCTCTAACCTCCACTCACCATAGTATTGGCCCCAAGTCATTGTCATGCAGCTCATTCCTCTTCAGGGCAGCATTGTTTTGGCCATTGGAGGAGGCAGAATTTATAACGCGTATCTTCAGGCTGTCGTTCAAACTCCCACATTGAACAAATGTCACCTCGTAGTTGGCTATGTTACAGTCAAATGATCTTGGTGGTATCAAGGAATGTCATAATGACATTTCTTCTCCCTCCATGGTAGTTTCATTTATCTTCATTTGCGAGGAGACCCTGTTCACTTGCCTGATGCATGGTCATTTTTTACCAGGTGGTCTGGAACCTCCTTGTATACACTGTGCTCTACTGTCCTCCCAAGACTATACCCTGCATGTAGTTACTATTGGTTTCTGATGATGGTGTATAACACACAGAGATATTGGGTTTTTGGACTTTATCCATCATCCTGGTTTTGTTATCAATGTTCAGCTTCGATGCCTTCCTGCATTAATCCATTGAGATAACTATGCTGGTGGGCCACTTGATGTTGTCTGTCCAGATGGTGACCTCTGTACTTCAGACATTTTCGCCTGTCTAATGTTTCCATGTTTTCAAATATACTATCCTCCCTGACAGATGACTGCTCAACTATCTAGACCAGCGATTTTCAACTGGTGTGCTACAAAAGTGTCTGCACGCATGTCATGGAAGTTTGGGGGAAGGTCAAAATAAGCAACAACAACCGAGGAGTAAAAAATGGTTGTTCAAATCCATGATCAACATTACTTTTAAAAATAACACAATGATTACTGAACTTTTAAACACAATCTTATTGCTCATTTTAATTATCATATTCCTCCTTAAATATTGATGGTGTGCCTCGACAATTTTAGCACTATGCTTGGTGTGCCGTGAGTTGAAAACTCTGACCTAGACACATGCCAACTTGGGCGGTTACTTGTCCAAACAGTGGCATACACGTCCTACCTATCTGCAGTGATGCTTACGCACCTGTCATATGTGACACCTGAATTTCTGTTCTGATGCCAGTGAAGAAATCTACCTCAACACCTATCTGCTTATACAAAGAAGCGAGGTGCACTGAAGTGCATGAGTGTTCAAATGTCTGCATACATGCTGGGATGCTTGAATAGATACCAGCCTGCATGTCTGAATTATGGCACCTATGCATTCCAGATTTCAAGAAAACACAATATCAGCTGTTCTGTTTTCCTGACAGTCTGTTTCTTCCAAGAATGGATGGATAGAGAGACATATGAACATTTTTCATAACTTGCATGGAAAAACACAAAGTCATAACAAACCTGAGGCAGAAGTGTGGAAAGACAACACATGCAATTTATAAAAGTCAATACTTTTATTTTCTCCATAAACTGACAAGAATGGGATTCTATATAACTGCATGCATAATAAAGATATGTGAAGTAAAATGATCACACAGAGAACTTGGCAAGCTAATGAGAGATACACTGGTGCATACTTGTACTCTCAACAAGCTACATATATCTACTGTCATTTTCTTAAAACTAATAAAATGTCAACTGTAAACTTAACCTCAGCTGTGGTGGGATATTTATTTGAAATATTCAGAAGTAATCTATGAGCTAAATAATAATAACAATAAATATGAAACTATAGTTTTAAAATTAACATCAGAGCATCCTACACTAATAATACACTCTCTTTACATATTCTTAAGGTGTTCAATAAATACTAATCAGAGATAATAAAACTCTGTACGGTTTTTCAGTCTCCCTGTTTATCTGTTCAGCCAAGATACTGCATAGAGGTCAGGTGGTAAATTATTGTGAATTTTACGCCTACACAAAATTCAGGCAACACTCCATTTTCAATGAAGAATCTTTAACATTGATCTTTACAGTATTTAAATTTCATTAGGCTAATCTAATTGGTTTCACTTGCTTTCAGTTAACTTTCCTATTAAATTAGACAAAAAAAACTATGTCAATTTTCCTGGGGACATGGGCCAGATGAGGTTTGAAAACCAAGTAACGAACTGGAAAGGCATGACCCACATTAATGCCAGTTCTGTGTGTGTGGTCACTGTTAACTGCTATTTATCCTCTTCCTAGGATCTCAGTTTCTCCTTCATATATTATACAAATTTATGTACACATAACAACAAATTCCAAGGTTATGACACGATCCTTCAGTTGCTAATTCTAAGAAATTAGTATACTGTTAAATTCATGCTGAATGTAATGTTCATTATTTGCCTTTAAAAACAGCCACACAGTTACACAGCATCTTAAAAATTAAATCTGCTTACCATGCTCCTGTTATGCGAAATAAGAGCATGGCTAACAAGTTTTACACTAAAAGCAAGGAAACTGAATCTATATTTTAAACATAGGTAGTTTATGTAAGTTATAAATTATGCAACAAAAAATGTAATCTCATTTAAAATTACTGTAAAGATAAAAAATAATAATAATTCAAACAATGATCTCCATTTCAAGCAAGTGGCAAAATTTCTTATAGTGTTCCCTAAGAAATTATATTTTGTGGTGTTTCTGTTACACATTATGTATTTGCATGAAACAATTGTAGATGATGTTACCTGTTTATAAGAGCCATGTTCAATTCAATAGTACAATTAGTAAACTGATTTTTATAAATTAACAAACTGATAAATCGATATGTATAGATTAAAGCAAATAAATTATCTTTCTGTGGCAGCAATAACTATAAATGTTTCTTATTAGTAAAAAATTCAATGACTAAAATCAATAATACTGAAATAATTCCATTAACTTGCACAAAGCTTTCTTAGCTTTTAATAACTGAATGGTGCAGTGCAAATGGGATGTGATTCCACTTTAACAAACTTTTTTGGGGGGAGACATGTTTAAAAACATATTTATAACCACATTATAGCATGGCTCCATTTTCACTGTAACTGATCATTTGAGCTATTCAGTTCTTCCACCAATAAAATTGGCAATTCTTTTATGCACATGAATCAATGTAAAACTAAATTTCGGCCAGAGCTGGAGTCACTCCATTTTTGCACTGGATCTTTCAATTGTAAAAATACTCTAGGAATAGTGTGACTTCTGTTCATAATAATACTGTAACATTACTTCACGTGAAACACTGCAGATATCACCAGAACAAGATTTCAACAGACCATAATTCTTTTATAATGAACAGAGTATGTGCTGCTGCCATGGCTACAATTTAGGCAAGGTCTGAAGAATATTTGCCGGTATCATCATTACGTACTCCTGCATAAGATACATAACACTGAAGGAAATATGATATTGTTACAATATCAATTCACTATTCATTATCATGTTCAAAGAAGAATCCTGAACATTTACACACTTCACTATTAACAATTTATCGCCAGAGAATGTTAGACTGATATATTTGTTAGTAAATACAAAACCAAAAGAATATGGAAAAATATCTCCAAATAATAGAATGTGAAACTTAAATGACACGGAAGATCAAGAGTAACACATGCGCAAGAGTAATGCTTTGAAGACATACAACAGATAATTAAACAATTAGAGAGTTTTATGTTTAAAATTAACAAAACATTTATGTTGGTTATGAGCATTCAGTTGTTTCATATTGCGAAAGAACATTACGATGTAAATGCCAGAATTCTCCATGGTATTATTATAACCTTGACATGAAGAATTACATCCTGAAGTTTGCTGTATTACAACAGATATTTAATTTTTAAATGTATTTCAGTATGGTATATTAATAGTGAGAACATCCTGTTTACTTTATTTTCTGCATCCTATTGTGTATCACATAACAAAGGTATACTCAAGGGCCATTGATACAACAACTGATTATAAACCAATATTAAAATGTTTAATACTGGGTTATTTTATTTTCATCCCACTACAGGTTTCACTCTATCAAGATTATCATCAGCTGGTTCTTATGAATTACGTATGTCATTACTGACTTGTTGCAATTGAACCATTTTTTATATTTTTCAGTAATATTATGGTTTAAACTTCAATTTTAAATTTTGTAACGTATTCCATACAAAACTTAAACTTAAAATTTGGATCATCATGTTGGTGTAGTTCACTTATGGACTAAATCCATGGAGTTTTTTTTATTCATCATGTTACCGAAAAATGTAAAAAAAACGATTCATTTTAATAATTCAGTAATGACATATGTAATACATAAAAATCAACTGATGATGACCTAGACAGATCAAAACACGTACTGTGATGAAAATAAAATAACCTGAATATTAAACATTTTAATATTGGTTGTTGAGTTGGTGGCCCCTAAGTATACCTTTGTTATCATATTTACTGCTGCAGAAGACAGCAGAAGTGACAAAGAGTACACGGTTGTGGAACAAAACAGGACTAGTCCATATTTTTTTTAAATTTCCCTACTGCTAGCCTTACTAGTCTTCTCTATCTTAACGTTTTTCAGTGTAGGCAGCTCAGGCCATGGATATACAGCAGGCAGGGGACAGTCATAATTGTGGTTGTACATTGCTGCTTCCACTATAGTCCGCTTGTCATCTGGCTCTGGATATGTTGATGCCCAACCTACATTAAGAACAATGCAAGGATTAAATTTTAGTTCAGAAATGAGATAATTCTGAATTATGTCAAGTCCCAAATATGGGGAGGATATCAGAGGATCTGGGACAGCTCAGTCGGTATGACGACCGGCAACTAGTCTATTGGCTGCACAATCAAGGAAACAAGGTTCAATTTTCACCAGGGCAAGAGACATTTTCTCTTCCCCACAGCACCCTGACTGGCTCTGAACTCCACTCAGCTTCCAAGCCAATGGCTACCAGGGGCAGTTTCCTTGGGGGTAGAGCAGAAGTGATATAAAGCTGACCAGTCACCTCCATTTTGTATCTCCATTGTCCCACATGTCTTCATGGAATGTTGCTTAATTTATTCAGCATAGAGACAACCTGACCTTTCACCTACACCCAAATATCACAAGTTTCAAATGGTAATATTTAAAACTTCAGACTAGTATAGTTTATCAAATACAGGCACAATTCAATTTTATTTTTTCCCTTACAATTTTCTCGACTACAACCTTTTGAATACTCACCTTCAATCTGCTGTGTAGAACAGTATTTCACAAATATTGCCTCCATTTTTGTAGGTGCAACACTCACTATTAGAAACCCATGTTGCTCTGCTGTTTTGCTGCCTTGTGGGAATAGTGCACACACAGAGTACAGAATGGCTTTATCTTTACTCACATATTTACACAATCCCACATGCAGACAATAAACTTATATATATAAATACTGTATTTATACCTTGATAAAATATCATCCATTGCATAATTTTTGCGAAAAAAGTGATTCAAGTTAAATGTGTTATGACAGCACACTATAGGGAATGTTAATTACATATTCTGTGAAAATTATGCACAGTTTAAAATATTACTAATGTATAATTCTTGTCTGTAGGCATGGATATCCATACGAAGGGGGACCCAAAAATAACTGGAAACGACCTGTTGCGCTCGCATGCTTTGTAGTTACGAGTTGTGCTGCTAGGTGGTGTTAGCTGGGGGTCTCCCATGACTGTTAGTGAGCTGGCGTCAGTCTGAGTTAAGTGGTTTGTCTGTGGTGCTCTGTTGTGTGCGTTCCTGTTTCAACCCTTTGGCGATTAGTGAGATGGCCGACCAGAAGGAACAAAGAGTGTGCGTGAAATTTTGCTTTCTGTTAGGGAAAACTGCAGCCGAGACTGTTGGGATGCTTCGGCAAGCCTTTAATGATGATGCTTTGGGGAAATCACAGGTCTACGAGTGGTTTTCCCGTTTCAAATCTGGCAACATGTCAACAGAAGACATGCCACGCCCCGGGCGTCCTTCGACAGGAAGAAATGACGAAAACATTGCCAAAATCAAACGTGCAATTGATGAAGATCGTCGAAAGACCATTGACCAACTTTCTGAGGAAACGAACATCTCATGGAGCACGGTCCAGCGAATTTTAACCGAAGGTTTGCACATGAGACGGGTGTCTGCAAAATTTGTTCCTCGCTTGCTCGGAGATGACCAAAGAGAAAACCGCGTGAATGTTTGCCGCGACTTGAAGAGTGAAGTGCAGTTTTCCCTAACAGAAAGCAAAATTTCACGCACACTCTTTGTTCCTTCTGGTCGGCCATCTCACTAATCGCCAAAGGGTTGAAACAGGAACGCACACAACAGAGCACCACAGACAAACCACTTAACTCAGACTGACGCCAGCTCACTAACAGTCGCGGGAGACCCCCAGCTAACACCACCTAGCAGCACAACTCGTAACTACAAAGCATGCGCGCGCAACAGGTCGTTTCCGGTTATTTTTGGGTCCCCCCTCGTACAGTGCTGTCATATAATATCAACCTGAACGAAACTTTCCACAAAAATTATATATTGGTTGACATTTTATCAATGGCCATTTTAATCCGAATGTTCACCAAGGAATCACATGGTGGAGTCCAGAGGCATGAATATCCAAATTGCTGCCACTCCTCACTCAAGTTCAATCACATTTTCTGCAAAAATTATGGGTCATTAAAAAAATTTTATCAGGGGGTACTTTTATTTTAAAATTGTTAAGAAATCACATGGTGGCGTCTGTAGGTAAAACTATTTTGTACTCAACTATAATAACCTCAATTTAATGTGTAAAATTATATTTCAAAGAGTTGTATTCACATAATTTATGCACTACAACTTTCTGACACAATTCTTTCAAACAAGGTTCAATGAGAAAGAAATTAATATCTGACATAAAAGGAGTAACTATTTGTCTCTGTAAAGCACACTTTACTAGCTTTGCAACAATATATTTGTATCTGGAACTGATGAAAATCAAGGGTACTTAGGTATGCAAAATTGAAAGAATACATTTGGGAAGTACACTTTACTGTAACTATGACAGAAGAAAGACTGACTTCTCACTATACTGAAAAACTTCTAAAAAAAACTCTAAAACAGTCCCAAGAAATTATGTCTAGAGCACCAGTCCACAGTCCTCAAACTATTCAAATTCTACCCAATCAATTTTCAGGAATTTCCTCTGGTAATTTTCTCTTTATAAATGTTCCTGGTGGTGTAGTTAATCTGTAACTCTTTTCAAGATGTAAAGAGTTTCAGTTCTACTTCAAGAATTACATAAACTCTCAAACCACCAGAAAATTCAGATAGGGATGCTTTATATGGTCAAATAACCATTGCATAAGAAAAATCAGAGCACCACAACTGTGACATGATAGGAAAGCAAGAGAGTAATGGGGTTTTAAAGCCAAATGAGACTGATCACACCCTCACTTCACTGATTTCCCAAGAGAATGTCAGTCCACATATGGTGGGTGACATTAAAGATTCTAGCAGGGATCTCAACCAGGATCAAAATTTAGACATGACAAAAATTATGCCATCACGAAGACTCCGAAAACCACCTTCTAAAAGAAGGGATGATTTTTTATGGATGGGAGAGAGCAAAATAAAAACATGACTCATATAAAGACAGATAATATACAAATCCTCCATCATAATGTGCAGAGCTTAAAAAATAAAATACTGGAACTAACTGCTTTATTACAATCTGACCTAAAAAATGTTGATATACTATGTTTTACTGAGCATTGGCTAAAGGAGGATCAGTTAGAATTAACAAATATTGAGCATTTTAAACTAGTAAGTAAGTTTAGCAGAACTAGTTATGAACATGGTGGTTCATATATATATATGTAAAAGAGTATGTACAAACTACAGAACTACTCTACTTGCAAAAATTAGGTAAGGAAAAAGATTTTGAAATGTCCATAGTGGAATTGTTGAAGGACAAAATAGTTGTGTGTATTTATAGGTCACCAGATGGTGACTTTTAATTTGGAAGTTGTAATCCAAAATGTGCAGTTGAAAAAGACAAAACTAATTTTATGTGGTGACTGGAACATAAACTTCTTAGATGACAGTGTAAGAGTACGAGAATTAAAAAATTTGCTTCAGTTCTATAATTTGGCCAACATAATTACATCCCCAACCAGGGTCACAAAAAATTCCATAACATATAGATGTCATAGTAACAAACAAGCAAGTTTTGGAATGCACATCATTGGTACTGGACTTGGGTTATTCGGACCACTTGGCACAAACACTAAAGATTAATGTAAATAGACGAGATAGGGGTCCTAAAATGAGCATAAAAAGACAGTTTACCAAAGAGGGTATCCAGGAGTTTAATTATTTACTGCAGAAGGAGTTATGGCAGGAGAGTTTTTCAAACTCAGATGCAAGTGCTAGTTTTAATGATTATATGGACATGATCCTTTATTATTATAATATAGCATTTCCAAAAGACTGTTTATATGAAAATGACAAGGAAAAACAAATGGATTACCCAAGGCATAAGAAATTCTGGTAAAAGGATGCGCCTGTTAAATGGTTTTAAAAAAAAGCATAATCTGTCTAGGGACATGCTGGAATATATCACCAGATATAAAAAAAAAATTATAAATATGGGAATTAGTTTGTATAATAAGGTCCCCAATCAAATAAAACAAAGGGAAAATTTTAACTCATTTAAAAAGAAATTAAAATCTTTTTTGCTGAAACATTCCTTTTATTCTGTAGATGAATTTATGTCTTTTGATTCATCAAGTGTGTAAATGTAATATGTAGCTGATTAATTTGTTGTATTTGTGTAAAGATAATGAAATTAATGGTAACTAGATCTAGATAATATTATTCAGATGACAAACCCCTTATATCAGGGTGGTACAGTGTATACTGTAAAGATATGCACGAGAAATAGATGTAAAACTGACAATTTCCTTATCCAAATGGTCGTAATACTTGTATGTATGGATTGTTGGATGATAATAAAAAAAATGAAAAAATGAAATGAAATGTCAACTGGAGGAACAAAGTAAAAAGCAAAACGGTCCCTGCATTCAATTACATATCAAGCCACGAAAACATACATGAGGGGAGAACAGTTACAGCTCTATACATTCTTAACCTTGGCACTACATGGAAGTAAATGGTCAGTTTCATAAACTTGTCAGTTTACCCTTGGAGGAAGATCTTGGGATACTGATTGGACAGGAGGCTAGGATGACACCAGAGTTCGTCCAGATGCTGTGGAGAAGAGAAATTTTTCGTGCCTATATTGGGAACTGAACAAGACTCCATGCTTGTCTAACTCACAGCCCAGTCACTGTACTGATTGCCAGTTATGCTCACTTCCGGTAAGATAACACAACAATACACACTGCAGAAAATTCAATGTTGAATCTATACAACACGTCAAATGTACAAATAATCATCAGAGAACTTTGATTATTGCTGGGGGCAACCATTCTGATACATGATCTGGTTTCTCATTGCTTGTCTAAATAAGATGTCAAGAGCCTTAATAAGGCTTACACAGCATGCTCAAAGAAGCAGCAGTACCACTGTTAGCAGTATATGTATCAAAACTTGCTAAACAAATCTGTTAATTTAATCCCCCCTTATCCCACATAAAATTTTATAAAATGCAGTACTAATGCAATGTACCTTTCTCATAGGCATACTGTGCAATTCGTGTTGCAATCTTGACTGAACACTCTCTTATCATTCGCAGGGGAGGGTAGAGGCTGCCTTTTTTGATGTCCCCTTCATCCACATGATCAGCCAGGGTCTAAGAATCACAAAGTTCATATATTTAGATAATTACTCCGTTCTTCTCATGGATACTTTCCAAGGATTGTTTGTATAATGCATTCACAAACTCTGGCCACACCCACGTCACATTTCTTCAGTTATCAGAGTGAGCAANTGATCCTTGTGGAACACCGTGCTTTATAATTCCCCAGTTTGAAAACTGGGTTTTCAGTTTCAGTTTCAGTTCCAGTTTCAGGACACAGAACCCATGAGACAACTATTTCTGGCAGGTCAAATTCAGACATCATCTAACTGGGCATGTTTTCTAAATACTTGGCATGACATGCACTCTTATAAAACTGTGACAGAAAGAGTGCACACTAGTTTCACATTTTTTTTTTGTTCAGACAATTTCCAATCATCTGACCTGGATTCTGAAACTACTTAAATTTAGCCTACATTTCCTGATTTAATAATTTTCAGCACCCCATCAAATTATGGTTCATACTGACTCAACTCATTATAATCTAGACTCTCTTTAGTGAAAGTTTTGATATTCTCTCTAACAGCTTTTCCAAGACATAATGATATACACATTTTCATTTTCCAAAACTGTAGATCTGTTTGAAACTGTAATTTCATACTGTTCTGAAACTTCCAAATGATTTACCTTCTTCATATTTATTAAAACTTTTCCTAGCAAATGTTTGTATTTTTATTAACTTACCGATACTATAACAAAATTTTTTAAATAATCAGGAAACGGATAGTATCATAGTCATTCAAAGATCAAATATGAATTATACCTTGAATGTCACCTTTTATCTATCATGAATGAACAATGTGTGTGTCTTCCCATCAGAAGAAAAGTCCATTTATAAATGTTGTGATGCTGTACCCTTGGACAATCACACTTTTTGATCTGACAAAACTTACTATTCTAACCTCATCACCATTACTAATTTCATGTAAGCTCTCATTACTGGCCGTTAGTTTGAAAATATCTCCTCTCTTTTTATGTGGTACTTGGAGAACTGGTAGACTACATGCTGTAGTTTCTCTAAAAAGTTTTCTCTTTTTACCAGCAGTGGCACACATCTCTTAAATATTATGCTAACAGATTACAAAACCAATATACCTGAGCAGCAATGAGGAACAACTCTTCTTGAATGTGATGAATACGAGTGCAAATGACTCCAAGAGCCACACCAGGGAAAATGTATGCATTGTTTCCTTGCCCAGGATAATATGTTTTACCATTATGTGTAACAGGAGGAAATGGAGATCCACTAGCAAAAATGCATCTTCCCTGTAACACAAAAGCATGTTCACATGGTTGAATTCATTAACAATTTTTATTGCTGGGCCAATATATCTGAAATTGAAAATGCTGTTCCATTTCATAACTTCACACTTAAGCTCTAAACAACTTTTATCACTAAATCTGTTCAGATTATTTTAGGTTTATCATTACATTAAAATAATTAAAAATTTCATGACCAGGAATGTAAGTGACCCTGTACTATACTGCAGGTATTTTGAATGGTCATCCTATTTAACTGCCCCTTGTTATGCACTGTGCTGGGAAATGGGTATTAAGACATTTAATAACATACTAAAATTGCTATAATATTTATATTTTGGTTTTTGCAGCACTCAGGGGCACTAATAAAGGGTGTCTGGGTGAAAGGTATCCAAAATAAAATCATTATATCTCAGAAAGAATTTATTATACACATTAATGGGGTACACCATCACAAAGGGAAACTATCTTTTTCTGTGTATATAACTTTCTCAGTAAATTTAAATGTGGATTCTCTTGGTGGCATGACAAATATCCAGGCTTGAAGCGTGTTTGGTGTTACCATAGCCACAGCGTTCCTTATGTGGGCTTTCAGGTGTTGAAGGTTGCTGATCTTAATCTGGTAGACAATGTTCTTCACATAACCCCACAAGAAAAAATCCACTGGGGTTAAATCTGGTGACCTAGGAGGCCAAGCGATTGGTCCACCTCTGCCAATTTATATCCCAGCCATCTCTCTGTCCAGGTGATTCCTAACATGGTGGCAAAAATGTGGTGGTGTATGCGAGTAAGCTGGGTATGGAAAAAAAAATCTTTCAGAGTTTTCCTTTCCGATGACATAAACCACATATGTATATGACAATTGGCTTCTGAGATATAAATTTTTTATTTTGGATACCTTGCATCTGGACACCATATATGTACATGAAGTCACCTTCTAATTATTTGGCCATGAATCATCTGGCAAGTTATAGGTGTACCCTTGTGTGATTTCTTCACTGTTCTATATAATCACATATTTATATAAACACACGTGTGGACTTGGTTCTCATCCTTTTATCATCTGAAACAGGTGCGGGGATTCAGCAAGGAAAAGAGATGGTCTAACAGTAAAACTGGAAATTGGAGGAAAGGTTTCCACAAGCAGAACTGTTTCCAAGTGCTTTGCAGGGACAAGTGTTAAAAGGCTAAGTGTCAGCCAGAAATGAAAGAGAAAGACAGGTTATTTTCATGAGATATGAGTAATTGCATATGTCTAGTCCGAAGCATACACAAAAGCCAAGTTCTATTATGTAGCACTGAGACAGGAAGGTGAGTTCAAGGTCTGATCCCAGTATCTGACCAACTTCAAGCAATGCTACAGTCACCCTATGGTAACAGGCAATCAACACCCCGCCCCTCTCCCTGCGGTGACGACACGGCGCCAGGCAACAGCAGCACTCATACGTAACAGGCAAGCACTGCGGCTATATAAGGGAACTGCACAGCCGCCAAGGGGAGTTAACGTGTAGCCGTCCCCAGAGTTAGTTAAAGTGTACCAGTCGCCGAAGTTAGTTCTCAAGTTACGAGTAACGAGTTGGCCAGGGAGGAGTATTCGGCCTAGTATTTGTAATACTGCAGATAGCAGTAATTGTTGAGCTTGTAAATTGTGTGATTGTATGAGCGAGTGTGAAATAAAATTCACTACATCCAATAAGGCGTGAAGTTATTTGCCATGTTATACACCCAATACGTGACAACTGGTGTCAGAAGTGGGATTGGACTTACACATGTGATCAACAAGATTCGAACTTGAAACACGTGACAATTTGGTGTCAGAATTGTTTATGAACTTAAACACGCCACAAACAAATTGTTGTGCATCGAATATTTTACTACTACAAAATGGAGATGCAGCAGATGATTGAAATGCTGCTCAAGGAAATCAGAGCTGGCCAAGAAAAAGCAGATGCCGACCAAGTGCAGATGCAAGAAATGTTCCGAACCCATCAAGAAGAAATGAATGCCATGCAAGAAAATTGGAAGAAAGACAGAGAAGATTTCCTGGCAAAATTAGACGTCAACCAAAAACAAACTGACGTCATGCTGACAAAATTAGACACCTACCAAGAAAAGGCGGTGGCCGATAGGAAGAAATGAAAGCCGAAATGTGATCTATGTGGTCAGAGTTGGAAGAGATAATCCAACATAGAACTGAAAACAGTTTTGCGATCTTTGAACACAACAAACGGATTCTCCAGTCGGAACTAACTGAGAAGACTGAAGTGTCCCTCTGTGCGCGAAGAACAAAACTCCAGGAAGACCTAACAAAAAACTACAATGAAACCTGCGCAGCAATTGAGGAGGCCAAATGCGACTTCTGGGCATGGTTGGACGAGATGAGACAGACGAAGGCCAAGCGGGGAAATACATCAACAATGGTCGCGAGCACAGCTCAGCCACCGACATTCAACAGAAACTCAACGTGGAGCGTGTTCCGGCGACAATTCAAGACCGTAGCAGAACACAACCAATGGTCGGACAGGGAAAAATCAACATACCTCATCACCGCTCTGAAGGGCTGGGCGGCAGAAGTGCTACCAGGCATTCCGACAAATACAACTTATGAGGAAACACTTCAGGCACTAGAGGACCGTTTCGGGGACCAACACTTTGCAGCTGCCTACCGCTGCCAATTAAGAACAAGGACACAGAAACCTGGAGAATCCCTGCAAGACTTTGCCACGGCCATTGAACTGCTTGCCCGTCGTGCCTAACCCAATCTACCTGCAGATCACATAGGAAGAGGGGCAGGAAGAGCCTTTGTATACGGAATACGAGATGCCAATATAAAGATTCAGCTACTGCTGGGAGGGGAGAAGAAGGTAAATGAGGCCCTCCGACAAGCACTAGAACTGCAGGCGGTACTGGTAGCAGCTAGACCTCACAAAGGTAGCGCCAGGATATACCGGAAGTACCGATCACCCCCCACCCAACGAGGAGACGGAAGACAATCAGGGTGCTGGGAATTGTCAAGAAGGCACAACGAACACACGAACAGGAAGGGTACACAACCATCGGGAAACGAGCGATGGCCGGCAGAGAAGGGCGAACGCCAGCATATGCATTAAGGCCCCCACACTACGCACTCACCATCAAAAGGGTGAATGCCAACCACAATGAGATGATGGCCTGCCAAGAAATAGAGGCAAGTCTACAAGAAGGAAAGCCGGCCTCAGCGAACATGAAACCTGCGGCGGCACAACGAGAAGAGGTCCCCATAGTGATACCGGTCGGAGAGACAATGGCCTGCCGAGAAATGGAGGCACATTCAGAAGAACAGGAGCCGGCCTCAGTGGACATGAAACCTGAGGCGGCAAAACAACGAGAGGTACCCGTAGAAGATGCCGAAGTAATGCTGGTCAGAGAACCGAAGAAGAAAAGGAGTAGGGACCGAAACAAGCGACAAATGAAGAATTCGACACGGGAAAATTGCAGACCCCAGAAGAAGTTGGCCGTAGCCCGAGGAGGGATGAGCTGCCACCTGGAAGTGACACAGCAGAAGAAAACCTGCAGGAAGGTGTCCCGCCATGCAACAGTGGCACGGCGTAGGAGGAACATCTTCAATAAATCTTGGACCTGAGGAGATTATGTATCCCGGATGAAGATGGCTGCCACCGGTAGGAAGATATCCCGTCGTGCGACAGTGGCACGACGTTGTAGAAATGCCTTCAGGAAGGAAACTCTCCAGGGAACCTTCGGATACCGGAGAAAGGACTTGGCGCCACAGTCTCATACCAGCAAGCGGCTGGAAGACCAGAAAGAATGACGATGTCAGCGAGTGCAGGCCACACCATTAAGTCGACAAAGGAAATTTCTGAAGAGAGTAATGTTCAAGGACTGGACATTGTGGAGGAGTTGACCCCCTCCACAAAGAAAAAGAAGCAGAGAACAGAAGAGGAGCTGGTAAAATAGAAGAACCGGCCTCCCCCGAGAGTGTGAATGTGCCATGGGAGAAAGTGAAGGAGTGAATGTGACACAACTGGGTCTTGGGGCATGTAGCAGGAAACCGCTTGAGACGAGCTGGTCTTAAGAAGGGAGCGGATGTAAAGGCCGGATAATAGTCGCTGCGAGGAGTAGCCGAAACAGGAGACGCAGAAAGCACAGCCTCCAAAGAAAAGGAACTGGGGTGCACCGTTAGGCTATTTGGGACGAACGGCCTTAAGGAGGGAGCAGTGCGACATGTTGCGCAATGGAGGACAACCCTTCCCTCCCCAGCGGTACGTGGCGGCATCGTAGCGCAGACGTCACCCTATGGTAATAGGCAAGTCAACACCCCGCCCCTCTCCCTGCGGTGACGACACGGCGCCAGGCAACAGCGGCACTCATTATGTAACAGGCAAGCACTGCGGCTATATAAGGGAACTGCACAGCCGCCGAGGGGAGTTAACGTGTAGCCGTCCCCGGAGTTAGTTAAAGTGTACCAGCCGCCGAAGTTAGTTCTCAAGTCAGCAGTGAACGAGTTGAATTGAATTGTGGTAGTCACCGAGTTTAGTTGTAACGAGTGAATCGTGATAGTGATAGAGATTTGCGAATAGGGTTATAAAGTGTGAAACCCCGCAACAGGTTGTAATTAATTGTAGCCGATACTTGTAGGTTGTTAAATAAACCAATTAATAACCCGAACGGCATCTTCAGTAACTAAACACATTACAATATGCTGACAGAACATGCCTGCTACTCCAGCAGAAGGGGATTTCTGTGATGAACATGGAAATGCTATGAAACTAGCCAACTGCAACCAACTACACTCAACTCTCGATTATCTGGGGGCGGATAAACCAGTTTGCGGCTTAACCGGGGCTTTTTTGAGGCTTATATGTTGTTTAATATTCATTCACTTTTGTTTCCCATGGTGAGTTGTAACACTATTTTCGCACCAGTGTGAACCGAGCTCTGCATTTTTTGGTCCCGTTATGCTAACACAATGTTCTAAGGTAGGGGTGAAAGAATGCAAGGATTTGTGGAAAGTTTCAAGGCCAGATAAACCGCCCCAGTTAGTCTCTTTGTATTGATCTTCATATACCATGCCATATACCAGTAAAGCCACCTGTATTGGAAAATTCATGGAAGAAACTGATGCCTTTCATCACTAATGAAGATGATGAAATCCTTGCNTATATGTTGTTTAATATTCATTCACTTTTGTTTCCCATGGTGAGTTGTAACACTATTTTCGCACCAGTGTGAACCGAGCTCTGCATTTTTTGGTCCCGTTATGCTAACACAATGTTCTAAGGTAGGGGTGAAAGAATGCAAGGATTTGTGGAAAGTTTCAAGGCCAGATAAACCGCCCCAGTTAGTCTCTTTGTATTGATCTTCATATACCATGCCATATACCAGTAAAGCCACCTGTATTGGAAAATTCATGGAAGAAACTGATGCCTTTCATCACTAATGAAGATGATGAAATCCTTGCATTCACTGGATTTAGTGAAAATGAGATAGCCATAGAACTGACAAAATTGGCTAACCAAGTTCATGGTGGTGAAGAAGTCAACGAGGAAAATATAAGAGAGTGGTTTGACTGTGACTCGTGTGAACTGGGCTTCGAAATATTAAGCAATGACGAAATCTTAAGTTCAGTGGGGGTGCAGCCAGAAGAGCGGGAAGAAAGTGAGAATGAGGAAGACGTGGACAGTGCTGCTAGTAAGAAATTATCACATGGTGCTGCTCTTAATCATTTGGAATCCTTACTAGACTATCTTGAGAGTGAAGAGAACAGTTTATTAAGTGACAAGCTAATATTACGTAGGCTTCATATGGATATCCATAAAAAGGAAAATGCTGCGAAAAAGCAAACGACAATATTACATTTTTTTAAGTGTTACTTCAGTGTAATGTAAAAAAAGTATTAAATAGGCCATGAGATGACATAAAAATGAGGTTGAATAAATTTAAATACAGGTAGGCCTATAGTATTATGAAGGTAGAGTATTACAGTACTACGTTTAATACAAGTGGTCTTAACTGGGTTTTCGAGTAATCGTGATTTCCATCCCCACCATCATCCTGGATAATCGAGAGCTGAGTGTATAATAAATACGTGGGATATAGAAACAAAACCAGCAGAATGACAAACAGTTAATCCATCAGACATCAGACCTGGAAATGAACAAAGAAACTGTTCTTCCATTTACTGAATCTGATGATTCTGAACAGTTTAATCCTGTTGTGTGAAACTGTCACATCAAGACTTTCATCTTGCCCTTGCGCGAAACATGCTGGAGCATGCTGCAAATGGGTCTCTTTCACCCATAATGACCCATGGGTCAAGCACCTGCCCTGTCAACTACGTCTCACCTACAGGAGGCCAATCAACGTCACTGGCCAACCTCCCTAGCCAAGAGAATGAATTGTCGTGTTTGCTCCTTACGCAGGATGAGAAGCATCCTCACCCAGTGCAAGAGATGTGACGTGGGTATGTGCATTCTTGGGTGCTTCAAGAAATACCACATAAAGGTGAAATTTAGTTAGATGATGCAGGTTGAAGCCTGTATAGACATCAAACAGGTAGAAGGTAAAGGTAAAGTTGACCCTGTGCTTAACTAATTAAGCACAAAGCCATGAATGCGCAGGGGGGAGTGGACAGTTTCATGCCCCTGCTGCTTTACCCCCAGGGAAAGAGCCCCCTGTACCCACTGGATAGGAGGGTGGGTGGGCCCCAGACCTGTTCTGGATGATGTGGAGAAGAGAAAATTTTTGACCCTACTGGGACTCAGCTCTAAAACGTTGGTCATTCAACCCATAGCTAGTTGCTATACTGACTTATCTATCCTGGCTCTGACATATATCGAGCAGGTTGTTGTGCGCTGAACAACATCTCTCTGGTAGCTCCTAAAAGTCATGGACTGTATTTAAACACCTCTTAATTTAACTTAATGTACAGCAACCAGTTTCCACTTGCATGCTTCCTTTGTGACGCCAACACACATGCGTCCCCACGCTCACTCCTAGCAACCATCCTGCTGCTCCCTGGCGAGCACAAGCACCACCATTCCACAACCCGAGAGGTGCCGCCCTCAAGCGGCCACGGCTCTAACTACTTAGAATGGCTGCATTCAACAAGGTAACAACAAAAAAAGCTATCTACATTGAATTTTACTATATTTAAAAAATAATCATTTAGGACTGTGCAGGAACTTCTAATGGCAGCATTTAAATGACCAAATGTACAAATATGTGTACTTTGGCCATGACAACTATACTTTTCAGTGTACCAAAAAGTGAACTTCATATACATCAGGTTAACTGCCCACTTAACAGGGAAGTCCTCACTGAAAAATTACATAATTCAAAATCATGTAATTTCCAGTCCTGAACGCTCTGAATTAATGAGGTTTTACTATACCAACTGCCAAATGTACTCCTCCCTCATAAGATCTGCTGTTAGGAATCCAAAATATGTGAGGGGCTTCAGATTCCTACTCCACTCAACAGAGTGATCAAATCAAGTGAGTTGGGGCATTAAGGGTATGAAACATGAATGGAGATATGACAAATGAATACAACACTTGAGTTGGACAAACCTACAGGCAGAGATCACTGGGAAACTTAGATAGAGATAAGAGGTTAATTGCTATGCTTTGCTTAATTATGCACCACACCAAAATAAAGTATCTGGGAATTAAGGTATAGCTTTGCCTATTTTTAGCCTTGGCACAACATGGAGATAAGCGGTCAGCTTCATGACACAGCTGCTCTACTCTCCACTACCCATTGAAGAGGAGGTTGGGTCAGCCCCAGAGACAGTCTGGACACAGTATTAAACATAAAAATCTCTTTCCACTGTTTAGAATTTAACACCAGCCAGTCAATATACTTATCACGTGTTCCCATCTTAGAAAAACTGGCTGTGAAGTACAGAACATACTTAACTGACTCAGGATGGGGATCAATGGCAAGCTTCTGTAAGCAAAGTAATAAACCTTATGATTCTAGAAAAAGGCATATGATTTCTTGATCGGGTGAGTAACTATCAACCGTTCTATGAAGGCCATATTGTGCACAGTAAATTAAACTGGTTAATCCTTATGAAACCAATGGCAAGTAAAACTTACATCAGTATTTACATAGGCTTGCTCTGCTGTGCATTCTGCCTTACTTGTTGGGTTACTCAGGGCAAAGATGATAGGATGTTCATTGAAGGATGCCATGTCACGGAGGATCTCTGGTGTGAATGCTCCTCCCGCAGCAGATGCACCTGAAGATGTAAAAAAGTATTCACATGTGAAAGTCAGAATTAAAATTGTGTGAACAGGTAGATACTCCTAAAAATGCTGAATTAGTCAGTCAAGAGATGGGACATGGACACTTACCATATGCTGCAGACTGGTTGGAGCTGTCCTTTATGAAAATCATGCAGTACATTTATGTATCAGTGTGTCAGTATTAATTACATTGACTCTGTCCACATCCCTCCTCTCTTGCCTTCTAACCAAAAATTAAATAAATAAAAAAACCGATATCTATAGTGTTAAACTCATAGCTAAAAATTTTTTGACTAAAATTAAAAATTACTTTCTTAAACCATATTTATTTTTAACACATGGACCACACTACCTTTGTCATTCACTGTCAATGAATATAATGTGAGGTGTGAATGCTACTAATCATTAACAGTATTTAGTACAAGATGAAAAATAGGATTCTGAAACCAAAATTAAACAACAATGATTATCAACTATATACAGCAACAGAAACTTAAGATGGTGGCATAATGATAATGTAAAATCGATTTATCCTAATTTTAAATTACTGAAAATGGACATCAAATAGTTTGGCGTGGATTGAGTAAGCACCTGAAGATGGCATTTTTGTGCCGAAATATGTAGTGCGAGTGAGAGAAGGAGATAGATGAGTGTATGCACTGCAAGACGGTTTAAATAAATCATGGACTTAAATCAGTGCAACAGGACGCTAAAATATAACATTATGACATCAAATATATTAAATTCAAGAACATGAAAATTAAGCATATATATAGCAAATACAGTTAAAAGTAGTCATTATTATGAACACAGTAATGCCAATTAATTTAGACAAGAGCCTGCCTTATGAATGCAATATTAAATTCAGAAGACACAAGGCCTGATTTAGATCTTTCAGCCACCCACTTCCTTCCCATTCCCAAGCAAAGAACGCTTCATTTTAATTCTTAGATTTTCTCTACAGCAGAGATATATGGAAGTGAATACATATAAACACATATGCCACATTTACATGTGCAATGACTACATACACATTAATGGAAGAACTGATGATGAAATTCCAAGGAATCATTTGCACAAAAATGTATCATACACTAATCCATGATAAGCTACTTTCAACATAAATCCATAGGTTTACCAAAGATTGAAACAAACTTCAAGACTCATTATCAGTTCTAAATCTTTCTACAAACTTTTATAAAGAATGAATGAATGTACAACATTTAACAACAGCTACTACAGAATGAACCACAAGCCCCAAGCACAACAACCTCTTCCAGTTAAGTTAACAGTGAGTTACAAAAATATTTTCTAGCCATAAAGTTCTGGTGCCATTATATGGTTCCCCTTTCCCCAGTTGATAAATACTTTAACTGTGTAAAAAATTTGTTAGACATTCATTATACAAACAAATTTAAGGTAATAAGTGAAGACAGTAAGGCAGTAGATTGTAATACTGACCAATCAAAACCGATGGCTTTATTTCTTTTACAATTTCTCTAAGATCCTTCATCACCGCGTGGTCCTTGGCATAAAACTTTTTGTGACCTGGTAAATCAGAAAGATGAATCATCAGTTTATGTAATAAATTGTGCAAACTGAAGATTTACTTAAGAAGAATGGATATGGGCCACACCTTCAAGTTTGCCTTCTGGCCTATTTTTAGCCAGGAGTCCATCAATGTCCACCATCCAAATTTTGTTCCTGGCATCCTCCACAGATGTTCCCTCAGCCTGCATAGCTTTTACTGTCAAGTCTGCAATCCCTATTGCTGCCTCTCCCGCTCCCAGAAAGAGGAACTTGTTGTCAGACAAGTGATTGTGTGTAATACGGCGAGATGCCAAAAGACCAGCAACAGCTACTGATGCTGTTCCCTGGATGTCATCATTAAATGTGCAATACTGGTCTCGGTACTTATCCAAGAAACGGAAAGCATTGTGATTTCCGAAGTCTTCAAACTATAAGGAAATCAAGGCAAATATTACAAGGACATGTGCATGTTACTTGTAGAAGCTATTAAGCAAATTCATACTCCATGAACAATCACTTTTGAACAACAATGTCTATTGGACATGCCTCCTCCAACCTGAATCAGAGTATTCTGTCCATATCTTTTGACGACAGCTTCCATAAATTCATCAATAAAGTCATCATAAGCAGCACCTGTAACTCGTTTGTGACGCAACCCAACATATAGGGGATCATCCAAGAGTTGCTAGAAAAGAAGAAAAAATTAATAATGTTCAAATTAGCACCATCATAATCACAAAGGTTAACTTAAGAGGATATGCACAAGTTGATGTGAAACATTCATGAAATAAAAACCTCAGAATCCAATGACATGACCCTGGCAAGTTTCAAAGGATACATACTTACTTACTCATGGAGCTGAGCCCTTCTGGAGGAGCCGCCAATTCTGCAGCTACTCAAGAATTTCCCAGCATTTTATGGAACCCGAAGGTTCATCACTGTGTTCACAAGAGCCCTCCACTGGTCCCTATCCTGAACCAGATCTATCCAATCCATACCATCCCATCCTGTCTCTCTAAGATCCATTCTAATATTGCCCACCCACCTACGTCTTGGTCTTCCCAGTGGTCTCTTTCCTACCGGCTTTCTCACCAATATCCTATATGCATTCCTCGTCTCCCCCATTTTGTGCTACATGACCTGCCCACCTCATCCTCCTTGACTTAATCATTCTAACTATACTTGGAGAAGAGTACAAGTTATGAAGCTCCTCATTATGCAGTTTTCTCCAACCTACTGTCACTTCATCTCTCTTCGGTCCAACACCCTGTTCTCAAACACCCTCAGTCTATGTTCCTCCCTTAGTGTCAGAGACCAAGTTTCACACCCATATGGAACCACAGGCAAAATTATAGTTTTGTATATTCTAATATTTATTATTTTGAGCCGCAGACAAGAAGGCAAACTGTTCTGGACTGAATGGTAGCAAGCATTATCCAAGTTCAATCTCTTCCTAATTTCCTACTGAATCAGGTTTTCATTTTCTATAGTCGTTCCCAAATATCTGAACTGTGTCACATTTTCAAAACAACTGTTACCTATCTTTATGCCCTGATCTGGCCCTGCATTTTGGTGATGAGATAGCAACATATACTCAGTTTTCTGCGTGTTTACTTCTAGACCAACTTCTTTACATGTGTCAATTAAAGTTTGTGTGTTTTTCTTTATGGTATCTACATTATTACCCAGTAGATTCACATCATCGGCATAGGCCAACAGCTGATGTGTTCCATTTAATTTCAGTCCCACCT